TGGCCTCTCTTCCCTCCAGCGTGTCAGATGCTCCTTTTCACTGCTGGCTTTTCTTTGCAAATAGAAATACGCAAGAATTGGGTAACATTTTTATTTTGGTATGTGGATCTTTTGGTTCTGGCTCCATGCAGCATATAGTTTATGTGAGACTTATCCATACCTCAGTTTGACAGAAAAGAACTTATAACATTGTTACCGTGCATTATATTATGAATGTGTCATTTGTTTGTAACATCCAAACAACTCTGTATCCCCTTGAAATACTTTCTGTTTTTCACTTTCAAACATGCTAGCTGCCTGTCATGCCCTACTGCTATACATGGCAGCATTAACCGGAAGAGTTACTATTGCTAATTTACAGCACTAGGGAGGAATAGGTATTGTCACAGCTTGCTCTTTCTGGCTTATTTTACTAGTGAATAACCATCCAGAACTGACATTGGGGTTTTTTTGCTGCTGATGGCTAGAAGTAACTGTGTGTTCTTAGGCTGGAATGGACTAATTGGTAAATATTTGTTTGCCCAGCTGTGTTTCTGGTGGATGTTTCAGATTTTATGCCTCTGGTTTTTGCAGCGGGTGCATTGAGATCCTGATAGGCAGTGCCAAAGACAAGCAGGAAGCTCACTGTGGCTGTGCTTCTGCTCTACCTTTGCACAGAGCATCTGCTTTGCTTTAAAAGAGCATGTTGTTCCAGTTTCCAGGACAGTCACTCACTTGACATTTCAAGAGTGGAGCTCAGCGAGGGTGCTTGCGTGCGGTTTATTAATTCATCAGGAGCTCTGACGCTGCCATTTAGACACACCACACAGCACATTGCTGGAGTCAGACATCAAGCTCTTCCAAAAATACTTCTGGGACAGGACCTCTTCTTTACCAGGTAGCTACCTCTCTGGCTCAGGACATTGTCACCAGTTTTCTTCAGTAATTTCCAGCTATACACTCTTCAGGCTGGATTTATTTTTATTTTGAGTAGCCTTTTTAGTTTAAGCTGCCCATAGTGGCCAGTGTAACTGCAGGATTACTGTCATGGTCTTCTGCTTTGTGTAAGTGTAGCACACTCTATGTGTGAAGCTCGAGGATAAGAGATATTGAGAACTATACTCAAGCTTCCTTTGCCTCTCGGGTTGTTTTTGAATCATTGTGGACTCTACAGTGAGTATCTTTCCCTGAAATCTCTGTCTTTAATTGCATTGCCATTGTATTCACATTGGTACTTTGAAATATTTAATTTAGTTCTGTTCTTTTGTCTAGTAGTGCAATGCCTGGGAGCTTTTATCAAGAGCCAAAGCCAGCCTATTATTTACAGAAGAAATACAGAGTACAGGCTTTTGCTATAGATTTTAGTTACAGTGTAGTGGGTCTTATTTTACTGTAAGGTGTCTAGAGCACTGCTGTGATATTCTTCAGGACATCTCTCAATTTCAGTAAAGTAAAGGGAATACCTGAAAGCACAAGTTCTTTAATAGCAATACAGGTGCTCACTTGTGTTTTTAGGTGGAGACTCATGACTATGTAAAACTAGTGAACTAAAAACACAATGAAAATAGGCTTTTCTCTTTTTCTTGTCTTAAAATTCAATTTTTCTTTCCCATGCTTAACTTCAGGTTTCCTTATTTGTGTGCTGATTTTCCTTGACTTGTCTTTATTGCATTCTGCAAGGGTTTTTTAACTTGGAACATTATCCACAAAAACTTAAGGTGTGATATATTGTATAGTCCTTATATATAATCTCACATCATAACAGTGCCAAGATTCTGATTTGTTCCGATACAAAGAAATTACTGTGTGTTTGTAGCTTGCAGAATACCTCCAATTTGTGTGTGGCTTTTCTGTGGAAACAACAGCAAACCCAACAGCAAAACCAAGACTGTCAGGAAGGATGCATTGCTATTAATATCATTGGCTTTTTCTTGCACTCATCAAATCCCTGTTCTTCTTTTAGTCTTTGAAATGGAAAAAGCAAGTGTGGTTTGTTAGATGTTTGCATGCCTCTCAGAGACGAAGGCTCTTAAAAGGCTGCAAAATCCTACACTTTGTATTTTCAGGAAAAAGCCTACTACCCTGCACTTGTGGGTTTCTCTTTTGCTCATCCCTCTAATTGCAACAGTCTAGATCCTCTGCTGTGGAGACCCTGTTCCCCCCTTCCCAGCACTGGTGTTGTGCAACTTTTAATAAAGCAGAAATAAGCCAGAATAACTGGGAAGATCATATGTCTTAGTTAATTTTCTATACACCAATGCCATCCTGAAATGTTTGGTGGGGGATGATCAAGTTGACATGTTTAGACTATATATTATGTCCAAAAGGTAAGGTAAAACTAATTTTCTTTCTGTTGCAAACAAGGACTTGAAGCCCTTCGTTGGATCCAAAGCATAAGGCTGGCATTAGAGATTTCATGGTATGTGGTCTTTTTGAAATAGTGGTAGAATATATTGCTGTACTGGAGTATTCAGCTCATCTACAGTGGACTAAGGCTGTACATCTAGTTTATTGTATCTTGAGACTGCATAAATTACCAGATTGCTGTTTTATGCTTGCATCAGAAAGAAACAGGTTAAAGAGAAGGAGCTTGTCTTGGTTATGGTGGTGTGCAGCACTGGATTTGTGTGTGTGAAATGGATGACTTAGGGAGCAGCAACAACTATGTTTGCATTTATTCATGCAAGAAGATTCCAATCTTTCTCAATTATGTTCTTCAGTCCCTGGTCTGTGTGTTCTTCTAGTCCCTTGACTATTCCTTATGAGTCTAAAAGAAAAATGGAAAAGATAAAATAAATGAGCTGTTGGTAACTGTATGGTTAGCCATATGGAAGCCATGCCTTCACTGGAAACTTTTGGGGTCTCTATTCTTCAAAAAACTGTAAACTCACAGGTTTTGTGACTGTGCTAGGCAGTCCAGAGGAGAGATTTCTGAAGATGATGAGGAAGAGTGTACAGCCTCCTTGGAAGAGAAATCGCTGTGGTGATAGCAGCACCCATCAGTGAGGCTGCATGGTTCACTGTGCACCTCCAGCAGAACCCTGAGAAGTGTGTGTGGAGGTGATCTCCTTGCCTGTCTCAGCTGCTGGAGACAGCGCAGCCAGTGCAGGGGAGAGTTCTTCTGCAGGAGTAAAAGAAACCCAGGGAATAATGAACACCTGAAATGGTGTCAGGGTAATAAAGCAAAAGAAAGACCAAACCCAAACCAGGATAATCATCCAAAATTATGAAGATAATTTATAATCAGTTAAGTAATTTTATTCCCTGGTGGTGCCTGATAGCTTCCCAAGGAGAAGTTGATTTACTTGTGCCTGGTAGGTGTGGGAACAGGAAGGTGTCCCACACACCAACAAGTGAGCAGGGAAAAATGCAGCTAGCCCCACGGAGGCAGGGGATATCGTTAGCCTGACAGCTGTGTGGCTTTCAAATCAGCTAGGCTGCAGTACTCAGCCTAACATTCTCTGTATTACTTGCGTTACTATGCCTTCTGTGGTTGCTGCTCTAGTAGATGGCAAATACACAGGCAACCTAACCAGAGGGAAGGACTGGATGCAAAGAGAGCTGTAGATGAAACTGTGAAAAAGGACACATTCTCCACTCCCTTTGCTTATAATCTTTGAGGGTAATTGCTAAAATAAGGGATTGTGTCTTAGCCCCTACTTCCTCCTAAGCAGTGGAGTCAGTGTATGTAACTTGGAGGGGTCAGCCCAGCCAGGGGCCAGGGATGTGGGGAGGGAGAGGCTCCTACCTTACAGGCAGAGATTACTGTGTAATCAGTGTTTATTCCTGGTTTAGGTGCTTTGTATTGCTTGTCCATCAGAACTGCTTGCTTTACATGGATGCCTTGAAGTTTAGGTAGACTTCTGAACAGAGTCTTTGTGCAAAGTTGCTGTGCTGTTTTCCTCATAAAAAAAGGAGGTTATAAGCAATGAAGTACAAATGTTAAATCTGATCTTTTGGATATTTTGTACATGGTAAGCAGGAGGGAGTTTCATTCTGTAGTTGAAATGGTTTGATTGTTTTCCCTCTGGAGGAATGACTATCAGTTTCCCCTGGAGAGTAACCAATAAATTATTCCGTAGAATCTATCAGTCATTTTAGTATTGCTTATAACTTGGATACTACTCTTTGATATTATTTTTGAGTTTTCAGATAAACAACATGGACATTGAATACAATTACTGTAATTTTTATTTTTTTTTAATAGAACAATAATTCAAATCAAGTTGAGACAGTGGAAGGTCCATAAATATCCTGCAATATAACAAGCTTTGTAGAAGGTACAGTTTTATATTCCATAATGCTGCAGTCTTTGAATGCTTGGGAAAGCTGGCACAGATTCATACACCATTTATTTATTCAGGACAATCATATTTCATGTGACTTTAGAGACCTCTAAGTAGACAATAGTGGAATACACAAGTCATACAGTGTGAGAGCTGTGTAAATCACGATACTCCCTACAGAGCATTGGTTTTCCAACACCAGACTGAAGTTGTTCACAAGATACTATGGCATTTATAGTGACTGGAAAAGACTTAACTGATTTTATTGTACGAGACAGAAAAATGTCAGAAGGTTCCAGGAGAGGGCAGTGTTCAACTGAATTAATACTCCAGCCTGCAAATTCCAGTAAAGCCACATAACTCAAGTTAATAAAGATGGGAGCAGTGTAACGTTTTGTATTTATAGTTTTGGGATCCAGCCCAGGCTTCTTAATGTGGCAAAATTCCCATGTGTTTCAATTAGACATTCAATATTTTGGTGGGTGGTTTACCTGTGGACAGTTGTAGGACTGTGCTTGCAGATAAGAGCTCTTTCTTTACCAAAGTACATCTTGGTGTACCTTGGAGGAAGCAACTCTTCAAGCTGAAAATAAAATAAAAAAAGATTATTTTCAGCATCAGAAGTATGATACTTTGGGCATTTATCTGTGCATGTTAGGAATTAACTACAAATTTTTCATCAGTTGGCCATTTGCTTATGTGGCTGGTGCTGTGTATTTGGATGAAGCATCAAGCTGAAAACTGTGACCTCTGAGGGAGGCTTGGTCTTGCTCAGTGGCTGTGCTGGAGGCAGCTTTACTGAGGGCAGCAGAAATGTGAGCAGCGACGGGTGCTCCTGCCGACAGGACTGAGGGAAAGGGGTGGAACTGCAGTTACAGGTGGTATCAGCTAGTAACTTTAAGTGAATAGATATAATGGGGACACAGTCATAGTGTAGCACAGGTTTAAACATGTTGGCTGCTATTGTTAGTGGTTGGAAAGGAGTTTTATACCCAACTTCTCCGACAGTGTTCAGGCAACAGATGCTTTGCCATTAGAAGGCAATTTTGCAGAGAAATGATAAGCAGTTCTTAGCAGTTGCAAACTATGCATGTGTTATTGTAAGGGCAGGCTGCAATTTACTGTACAGGGCTCGTGAATTACTTTGGGGACACAGTGTGCGAAGGCATTGACTCTGAATATTTATCTGAGTGCATGACCTTTCTGCCGTACCTCTGGCGTAGAAGGTGAATGGCCTGGATTCGTGGCACTTTATGTGGCGGTAGCTTGGGCAGTATAGCTTCTAGGTGATCATTATTTTGATATTGTTCACTAAAAGCAGTTTTAATTCAGACTGACCTGGCACAAGCAGATAACAAACATCAGTGGATATTGATTGCCCAGAGAGAAATGCCAGTTCAGGATGTCTAGTCTCATGTCAAATTCTGTCTGTAAAGCTTGTCCTCTCTTTAGGCCAAAGGTATTTGGTATAGATATTGGCATGGGTGCACCTACCTGTTTGTGTTTTCAGTGGAACCTATATGCATTTTTGCTTTTATGCATCAGAGTTATTTTCTATTTTTTTTTTCTTAAAACAAAACAAAGAACTACTTCCAGTTCAGTAGCAAGAAAAGTATGCCATGTTTTGGTAGCATCCAGGACCTAGGCAAACGAACTGTAGTAATCATGCTTGCGCGGTGTACACTCTGTTCTATCTACTAGTAGACATAAAGAGCCTGCAATGTTGTACACCAGTGGGCATCAAAGTTGTTTAATCTTCTTGTATTTTGTTGTTGTCATTGGTGAAATGCTGGGGTCTGAACCCCGAGCCCCCGAATTAAGGTTGACATATGGGTGATTCCCACAGCCCTTCATACAGAGGAGGTGAGTTTGCCTTATAGCTTCCCCCCAGGGTGCGGCCGGCCCTGCAGGGAGAGCCATAAGGGAAATGAGCCCCAGGGGTCCCACGTTGAGTTGACAAAGGTCAGGTGTCTGCTGGGGGATAAAAGCTGGGACCACTTGCAGGAAGGGAGGAGCGTCTGTTTCAGGAAAGACCTCCTGACTCTCCCTGGAGCTGGGTCCATTTAGACCTTTGCGAAGATGGGCCGATCGGGTGAGAGTCGCCATGTGGGTGCCTTTATCGTATATGTTCAGCTTTCTGGCTTGGCTGTTTCCCATGCCTACTGTGGGCAACCTCGGGTCTCTGTTCATACCACCTGTTGTGGGCTGAGTTATGTCTTTTGTGGGATCATTGGGGGTGGCGTCAATTATATACGAGCTGGTTGACTTGTTTGTACCCCTGGCAGTCATTCATGACACGATGTTTTTGCTTACAATACAGTCTGTGTATTGGTTTCTCTTCCTGCTGGTTGGGTTGTTCCTGTTAGGCCTGGTCATTGGCAGAACAATTAGTTACCATATATCTATAAAGGAGACTTTTTTTTTTTTTTTTGGCTTGCTTTGCCAATCATCCCAAATCCAGAGGCTGAAAAATAAATTATTGTTACTAGTAGCCTATGTTACACTCTCTGTTTGCCAGAATTCGGGAGACCAAAAGAATTTTTTTTGAGATTGAGTTAAAATTGTTGCTGGTAGAAGCAGAAATTCTATGAGTGACTGAGAGAGTACTTTTTGCTACATTCTCAATTGCAATCAGTGAATTTCTTTATAAAGTGCTCAGGACAGTAATTTGATGCATTCAAGTTGTGAAAGGATCCCCCTCAGATTTTAAAACTGCTGCTATTCCAAGAAGTAATAATGGCTAACTTCTGAGTGCCCCTGAAGTCAAGATCGACAGACCTTTTAAACACAATGCTATCAGAAACCCTGAGCTATTATTGAGTAGAGGTTGCTATAGCAGTATGTTGCTTCTTGTGAAATGCAATCGTATGAAAGCAGTGGGTCACTGTAAGGTAATGCTACTAGCTTAGCAGTCAATCTCCCATAGCAACTTAATTAAATTCAAATACATGGAGTGATACATTATCCAGTGAGGATACAGAACAAAGGGCAAAATAGATGGTATTTTGGCTAATTCAGTAGTTGTGCTTTTTTTTTGTTTTCTGACCTTGAAATTCCATGCCTATGAGTTGACTGAATACTGTTATCTGAAGGATAAGCCACCTGCTTCTACAGAATATTAGGTGTAGAGCAACAGCTTTTAATTTCTGAGAGCTGTGAAACTGAATAATAATGCCAATTGCATGGTAATACTGTAAAAAGTATCTTCCTACTTCAGCTTTTAAATTAAGTTTCTACAGTTACAGAAGAAATAGCCTGATCCTTTCAGCTGAAAGGTGATGCTTGAGATGCTTTGATGGCACCAGTGATTTTGTGCTCTGATTGCACTCTGGTAGCATGTAAGGGGAGATATATGTGTGACGGCTGCAGAAGTTTAATTAAAGAAGGTGGATTAATTAAAAAAAAACAAAACAGTGGAGATACTGATCAGCATGGGCCCAGTCCTGACTGCTGCCACTGCCTGAGGGCACTGCTGAGGTCAGGGACAACAGGTGCACTGATTGTGGTGGGCCCACAATTGCCTCCCAGGACTTCATCTCCCTGAGACCTCTGGGTTAGGTAGGGTTGTTGTTGCTGGAGATCATGGGATTTAGATAATAGGCAGCTGTCTTTGAATTGGTTTTCAAAAATATTTTGATAAGGTCAAAAATATTTTTTGACCTTATCAAATAATAATATATATCAATATATCAATAATATTCAAAATATCAATAATATTCAAAAATATTATTTTGATAAGAAGAAAGGTCAGATGTCCCAAACCCCCACGCTTGTCAAGGCAGTCCCCTAAACCACCCTGTACTAGCTGGGTACTGGAGGTATACTTCTGGAGCTGGAGAATGGAGAGGGATTTTTGTATCTGAGAAGAGATGTGAACCTTGAGTTGAAAGATTCAATGTAACTTGAAACATATTTACCAACATCATTCTGGCTATATAATTATTATTATTATTTAAAATACAATTACTTCAATAATAATGTTCCTGAGAGCATGAGTGATGCTGGTGTTCATTTGCATTCCTGTAACCTGGTGACTCCGCTGTTTCACTGTAGTCCTCGAGGCTGCATTTGGGCAAAATCTGCAAAGTGTGGTCCTCAGTTTGCATGGTATTTGTCCTTGCCCATAGCCCTTGGGGAGAGACCATTGAGAAGGAAGAGTGACAGAAATTAAGTTATTTTTTACTTTTTGGGGTGAAAATGTGAGGTCGGATTTCAGAAAACAGATGAAACGCCTGCAGAAGAAATGCACAGCCCAGCTGCTCTGCAGAGTTAGTGTGAGGCATGGTGCTAGAACTGTTGGTTTTCTGAGTATGTGGGGGTTAATCAGCAGCTGGCCGAGAAGTTGCCATTCTTGCCTAGCCTGAGCACAACTGTGACAATAACACAGCACTTATTGTGCATCCAGCTTGCACGCTGCCCACAGGAACGCCACTGTGGAGAGATGCATGGGCTGCCCGTGTCCATTGTTCTGGCTCGCCTGCCTGTTTGCCTGCTCCTTGTGTCCCCCCTCCTACTTGAAAATGGGAGAGACCAGCAGCAGAGACCAAAGCAGATCTAAACTGAAATTGGCTTGTTATTAAGGGCAGGAAACTTTGCATTTACAGGTCCTGTGTGCTTGGCGTCTGACGAATTGTCCTGGGATGATGGGAAGGTACAGATTTCTCCTTATACAAATAGCTAAGCTTCATTTAGGCTGAGAAGCAGCAACCTCTGCTTGGCTCACTGGGCATGTCCCAGAGCTAACAAATAAATAAGGTGACTAATGCCAGCCAGGCAATGTTTCCTGCTCATTCCTATCCTGTGGGAATAGTTAATGCATGTAGATGATTATTATTTAAGGAACCTGTTCTGTGGTTGTGGGCATGAATGTTAGGTTGGGGAAGCAAGCTCTGCTTTTGGACCAGAGCTTTTTTGGTGAACTTTAGTGCCTTTATGGAGCCTGCAGCTCAGCTGCCAGTCTTGAGGGTGCACAACCTGTCTCACAGAAGCTTTGTCCTTGAGATGGCATGATTCATTACATCTGAGGAAACAGTCTCTGAGAGACACCTTGTGGGTAACTGGGAGTCCTTAACTGGACTTCCCTGGGAAAAATGCTTTGTGTAAAAAATACGGCAGTTGCCATTGTCTTCTGCATGGAGATATCTAAAAGCTTTTTGGGAGGACCAATATTTGTGAGAAGTCCCATAATGGTTAGTCACTTGTATTTGATATCTAGTGTTATATTCTTTTTATTTGTATGTATCTGTTTGCAAAACCCAAAAGTCTTTGTCTCAGTGTTTATCACCTTTTAAAACAGGAGCTTGTTTATTACTTTAACCAGATATGAAGCTAAAATAATGATTTAGGTTGCAAAAAGCAAAATCTGGTAAAATCTGGCAAATCTAGTAATAGTGATATCTTGTAAATAGCCAATGGCTATAAACTTTTTAAAATAGAATTTGAATTCAGTGAAATGTTGTTGGACTGCAACTTCTGTTAGATGTTACCCTAAACTGTGTCAGTAGGTCATTTTTATAAAAGCAATGGCCTCTTCAGTTTGTTTTTTAATTGCAGATTGGCTGTTTGGGATCTACATGTTGCTACTGTACTCTATTGTCTCAGAATTGTATCTGTGCAGTATGCATACATTTTGGAGTCTCTGTTGAAAATGTTGAGGCAGAGTGTTGTAGCTCTCAAGTCTTGCTGAGGGAAAAGGTTCTGGTACTGCATTGACTATCTCTTGTTTTGATCTAGCAGAAGAGCCACAGTTGACTCCTATAAAGAATGAACTGACCTGTGATATTTCTACAAGTGTGAACAGTTCAGGCATTAGAGAAGGAGGTATCTTAGAAATAAACTGCCCTTTTCTCCAAAATGCACTATTGGCTAGTCACGGCACAGTTAAGCTTTGTAAGAGAAGAGCAGGCTTAAAACTGGTGTTCACGTGGAAAGCAAGATGTCCTTTGGTCTCTTCTTTGATTATATTTAGAATTTGAGTCCATAGGGTTCATGTGCATATACTAGCATGTGGGAGTGGCATGCCCTAGGTGTTGCTTTTATTAAAATGGCTGAAATGAAGTGACTGCTACTTGATAGTGTTTGAAGTGAATTCTGAAAGCCTATAGCACATCTTCAAATGAAACACAAACACAACTTATTTGTCTTCAAAGGCATAGCTGGAGTTTACTGTTTCTAGCCTTTCCAAGATTCTGTGGTTCCTTCTAAAGAAAATGAAGATTGTGTCCTGTTGGACATAGGTAAGAAATAATTAATCATTTTGACTTCCCAGAAGTTACTGATATACGTTGTGATGCCAAATACATGCAAGGCAATTTCTTTAGAAGAGGTGAAGCCTAGCATGGTGAAAGATTGGTTGCATCTCTTATATCTCTGTCAGAGAGGGAACCACTTTCAAAGCCTATCCTGTAGAGACAGGTGGTGTTCCCAACAATATCATGTTAACCTAGGATCAGCATATATGTCCAAAGATGAAATGAAGTGTGTAGAAGTGGTTAGGTGGCACAGTGGTAAATGGGTTGTGGGGCTTGTAGGAGGATAGAGACAGCACATTTAGAGACTGAAACTCCAATGGAAAGGTAAATATTTTCAAGTCTGGGGAAAGCTCCAAGAACAGTGTGCAAATGGTCTCATGCAAAGCACAGCAAGGCATAACAAGACAATGAGTAACTAAGCTCTGCCAGTGGGAGCTGCTGTGCCAGGCAGAGGGTCCCAGGCTAGCATCACTTGTCTGTGGTCCAGTGCTGAGCTCAGAAAGAGCAGCCCAGATGGTGGCTTTCAGATAGCTCATATGCAAACTTCAGTGGCTGCAAAATGAAAAGTTGTTCTGTGTGTGTGGAAGGGGAGGGGATATACACGTGTGAATGGGGATAGTGTATGTTAGAAGTAAAGGAGCTGACGAAAACTCAGACACAGTTGTAAGATGAGAAGCTGGCAGATAATTTTAGCATTCTCTCATTAAAATAATCATATAGTTATCTACTTTTGAAGTCCTTGTTATGCCAAATGGCTGTACTTCATCCATTTAATCATGTTTGTCTATGTGTTTGTCTTGTTTTCCCATCCAAGGAATACAGGAGCTGCACAAGGGAATTGGGAGTAATAGCATTCACAGTATTTGCATTCACAGTTGCCCTGGCTTTAGTGCTTCTGAGCATAGGACAGCATTGCAGTCCTTGCCTTGCTCGGAAATGCAGTGTAAGTACATGAGATATTAGTGCCCATATGATCAAATGTGTTTTGTCAGGCATGACCCAAGTATTGGACTGTATCTCAGCGCAGGGGGGTGTGGAGCCATTGGGGAATGATTATGGTTTGCTAATCTGAAGCCACATCTACTTCAGTTCCTGCTCCAGTTATACCATGTGGAGGGAACGTAAAGTAGCTTAAAAGCTGACAAAGTGGAAGTTCTCTGAAATTATAGCTGGTACTTCTTCTTCTGACCCCTGGAGTGCCTTTTCCTTCTAAGGCATCTTTTGCACAGTGCTGCTAGTGACAGCTGGAACAGGAGCCAGACCCCCTGGCTTGAGACCAACTCAGTCTCTTTCCTGATGCTTGGATGGGCAGCTGCAGAACATCCCGAGTCCTCTGCAGGGAACAAGCCAAATGACTATGGCTGTGGTTCCTACTGTTAGAAGTGACAGAATGTAGATTCTTACTGGTGCTTTTGGGTTAAAAAAAAATTAATAAATTTGCATACAACTTGGAATAAAATATAGGTGCTTAAAATTCTGTTTTAAAATATTTTCTTAGGCATCTTATAAAGTAAAATTATAAATGTGGGTATAAATATGTAGATATACATATATCTGTATGTATAGATGCTGATATATTTATATATGTTTTGTCATGAGCACAGGTTCAGCCTATATTAAACTAAGAAATATTTCCTGTTGTACCTCCTGCCTGAAAAAGAACCAACCCTCTGTCTGTTTCCTAAATTCTAATTGCCTGGTAGTACATTTAAGAAATGGACTTGTCCGTGGAGAAGACTCAATGAAATTGGTTTTGCTTGTTTTAGAAGTTGCCCTAACTGAGAATTTGGTTGCCCTTTGTAAGGACTGGAACATGGACTTGCTGCTGGCTGCGCCATGGGCAATTCTTGCCCTTCTCCCCGTTGTGTACTCAAGTTGGCTGAAACACTCATAGACATTGGATAGGATTTTGCCATTGAACTCAGGAGAGCCTGGAAGGCTTCCAGTCAGCACTGTGTGTGAGATCTGATGGGGCTGAAGTGCAGACTGGGGAGTGAATGGGCTACCAGGTTTGCAATAAAAGGTGGAAGAGGGTAGGTATGAAAGAGGGTGAATGTAGAGTTTGGTCACAATCAGAAATTTGTAAGTTGACTTAAGCTGTTTTATTGGTTTATCTTAATGTAAAAATCAGTATATATTCTAACATGACTCATGTAAATAACCATGTTGCTAAATGTCACAGTTTTATTATGCTGGATTGTTGTAAACTACTTTTTAAAAAAATTGTTTGTTTGGCAGTGTTGTTAAATGGTGATGCTTTTGGCAGGAAAAGCACACAGTGGGGAATAAGGAGGGAGATGGAAATGGTTGGCAATGGGAGAAAGGAAGAGGGAAAACGGTTGAGGAGGGCTGAGTGAAGAAGAATGAATAGAAACAAGCAAACTCTGGAATCTCACTAGGAAGTTGGATGCATAAATCAAAGAGACTTCTAAGAGCCAGAATGTGAGTGCTCTTTGAATGGGTACAGATTCCCTCACTTCTGCTTCACACTTCTTTTTCCACATGGTCCTTGCTTTTAGAAATGCCTACCAAAAATCAGTCTCATCATGGAATGGTTTGGGTTAGAAGGGGCCTTTAAAGAAGCAGTGGCTTCTGAAAGGGCTCTGCTGTTCCTACTCTCTGTTTTCTTCCCCAGCCTGCCTTTTCAAGCATATTGACTGCTCTGGCTCTTTCCCAACATCCTACAAAGTCTTGGGAGCATCTTTGCATGGATGCTCACAACAGTCAGTAGGATGCTAAAGGGTACCATCTCTTCTTACTCCCTGACTTCTTCATCCTTGGGTTGGGACTTGACTGCCTCAGGAATCATTTGAGTCAACGTAGTTCACTTTTGAGAACTGAGTTCAGTTCCTGCACAAGAGGTTTCTCATCCTCCAGAACTGGTGGAGAGCCCTTGGAGTCCCATCCCTGTGAGTGTCAGGGTGGGGATGAGCCAATAAGATGCTGTATGAACTACAGATGATGGGGTTTGACTTTGCCATATTCAAGAACTGAAGGAATAGGAATAAGCTGTGGGACACAACAGGATGTTAGACCAGGGCTGAACAGGTATGCAGGCTTCTGAGTTCAGTGCTAGCCATTCTGCCAACCTTCTTCCTCCTCTTCTCCCTGTCTCTCCTGGAAATTGTTAGAGAACTGTTTTGTGTTTAGAAGAGGAAAAAAATAAACACTTTTTTTTTTTAATTGAAAGAAAACACACTGGAAGGATTGAGAGGCAAAAGCAACATCCAGCTGGGGAAAGTGAATGAAAGAAACAACACGGAAAGCAACAACAACAACAAAAAATATTTTTCCTGTCAATATTAAGCCTATGTATTATTGCCAGGCATTGTCATCTTCAGAGTCATCAACACTATACAGTTTGGGAGAAAGTCTAGGAGGTGACAGCTGAATGCTGTTACTGTTAGGCATGTGACAGTGTTAGCTGGACATGTGTTTTTAAAAAATCTGTAATCTCTTCCTGTTTTTCGTAGCTGATTTGGAAAGAGGATGCTCACAAAGCAACTTATTAAAGATGCAGATATTTCTTTTTTTCCAATAAGAAAACTATAACCCTCATTTTTTCTTCTAAGGAAATATATCTCCCCTTCCCCCCCAAAACTTTAGGAAGGCAAGATGATGTTAATCCTTAAAAATATTTTCCCTGCTCTCCTAGTTACAGCCCTGACAACCTAATGGTGTCTGTCTAATCTATTCTGTTTGTTCTGCCAGTGCTGAAAAAGTTCTGCAAGCCACATTTTGCACTTTGAGACATAAAAATACTGATGCCAAATTTTTGGCAGTTTGCTGTATGTGACCAGGCAGCTGCAAAACATTTTTAGTAGAGTCTGCCCTTTGATTTTCAGGATTCCACAGAAATCCCAGTGTAACCACAAATCAGTTTAAGAAACAGAACATAATGATCTTTTTCTCTGTGTGAACTGTGGGGCTATATTGTAATCTGCAGAAAAATCTGTTTTCAGTGTTACTGTTTTTTTTTTGTTTGTTTGTTTTATAGTTAGATTTTCTTACTGAGGTTGGTAAGACTTAAAAAGGTAGTGGGTGTTTTTGTTTTTTTTTTTTTTTTTTTTTTAAAAGAAAAAGCATGGTCCTGCTGTCTGGATTCCCACCTTTCTGCAGTTTTTGTTATGTCTGTAAACTTAATATTTTTTTCTACTTATTGTGGTCACATCTTTTGCTCCTTTCTTACTATGTGTTTGCTTTTGGTTTTTTTGGTGAGCAGAATGTTTGCATTTGGAAGTGTTGCAAGTCAAGTGTGCCCGTTTTGACCTTGGAGCTACAGGAAATAATTTTATGTTTATTGATAGATAGACAACACTTAACATGTAACTTTCACTTCAGTTTGAGACAGTTACAAGAGTCCTGTGATTAAGGATATGCAGATCTTTTCTGTTGGTAATTTTTATGTTTTCCTAGTAGCTTTCAATCTTATTTTTCCCTTTCATGTGCTTTGAGAGATGTGGGGTGATCCAGCTGTAGCATCTCTAGTTCAGGAGCTGCAGACTTTTGGTTCATATTCTCTTCATGATGGATTTACAGTAGGACCTTAGACGTGTCATTTAACTTTTTCCTGTGTCTCAGTTTTTAATCTGAAACAAGGAAGACCATAGAGAGAGAGTGTGGTCAGAAAAAGGCACTGCAGTACTTGGCTGCTTGGAGGTGTCCAAATACTCAGGATTGGTTGTGCTAAAGAAGTTCTGGAAGGTCAGTTTGTGGTAAAGAAGGCTTTTTTAAAAACTCATTTTTAGTCGGAAAGTAGGACATCTGAAACTTGCAGAGAAAAGTAATAGCTGAAGAAAAGTGCAGAGTTAACTGCTGCATCTGATGACAGTGGCAATTGCACTCTGCTCTTTTTTTGCTGAAGGTTTCAGAGATCTTTACGTTGCTGCTTTTACTTTTGCAAAACTTTTGCATGGTTCTGTGCACTTTGCAGAAGAGAGTTTTAACTTGGGGTTGTTCTGTCAGAGTCCTGTCAGAAACAACCT